TTTTCTACTTTCAGTTGATATGAGGTCTGAGTCTTGCTCAGGGTGGTCTCAAATTCTTGGTGTTGGCCAGGCTTGGTGGCTCATGCCTGTAATCCTAGCACTCTGGGAGGCCAAGGCAGGTGGATAGCTTGAGCTCAGGAGTTCGAGACCAGCCCGAGCAAGAGTGAGATCCCATCTCGACTAAAAATAAGACAAAATAGCCGGGCGTTATGGCAGATGCCTGTAGTCCTAGGTACTGAGGAGACTAAGACAAGAAGGATCACTTAAGCTCAAGAATTTGAGGTTGCTGCGAGCTATGATGCCAGGTCACTCTACCCAGGATGACTGAGTGAGACTCTGCCTCAACACACACACACACACAAACCCCGCATGCACATAAGGGAATATCTAGGGAGCCACTTTAAACAAAAACATGGACTTTTTTTACAGTCAATCCACACTATTTCTCTCTCAAACTATTCAGCTAGTATTAATGACAAAAATTTAAACATTTTTCATAGAAAATAACTTTATTTTTTATTATCTATGCATTTTATATCCTTATATATGATTAATGTAAAATGTGTAGATGAGTAAATAAAATCGCTGAATGAAAAATTTTGTCCTAAGTAAACAAATGTACAGTAAAAATGTTTTCTTAATCTTAGTCAATATAACTCCTTCTCCTCCTTTATCTATCACTTGTTTATGAATCGTCAGAAAACAATAATTCATTCAGTACAGGGTCTTTGAGCTCTGCAAATATTAATCAAGATTACCTCTAACAAAGGCAGTCTCTGGAAAAGCTGGGTTAACAGGCCAGCTTCAGAGCAAAATAAGATTCTCTATTCATAATAAGGTCGGATGGAGCTTAGTCAGTTACCCTGACGTCTTTTCAAGAGACAACCAAGGAGCTCAAATAGAAAAATTTCAGGATGACTTCTTTCAAATGTAAGGTAATTTCAATTCGTCCATAATGTTATGCAGTGTCTCAACCACACTGTTATTACTTCGAAATAGAAGTAGTATATGTTTATGGCAATGGAATGGAAAAGCCATCAGCATTAACTTCTTACGACTCTCTTCATCTCTCTCACATTTTATGACTACCGCCTGAAGGTCTCAGATACAAGGAAGAAATTCTGACAGTGGAGGTACTCTAAGACAGTAAAAATAGTGCTAAAAATGAGTTATTGGCAAAGGCTATAAAAACATCCTAAGTATCTTTCAGTAAAAGCATAAATGTTCACCCTCAGGCATGATTTGATATTGTCCTACCTGAAAGTTGGAATATAAAGTAGGAAGCTCTTCAAGCTTTATCTCTCCTTGTTATTTTTTAAACTATTGTAAAAAGAAGGCTTTTTACTTCGCCGTTTTTTTTTTTTTTTGCTTTATAATCATCATTCTCTATAACCATCCCTTTCTTCTCGTAGAAATGAGACTCCAAATTTGCTATGACATTGTAAATAAATTTGTAGCCTGACTGCCTGTTCTCGTTATCATTAAAACAATGCCACAATGTTTGTTTAAAACGGGTAAAGTAAAATTTTCAAAGCCCAGCCTAAATTAGGTGAAGCAATGGTGTCATTTCGAGCAAAATGAGATCACATGTGTATTGATGTCTGCACCTTGCTTAGAAATGCATCAAAAAAAGAGACAGGGTGACGTCTGGACAAATGGAGAAATATGTGAAGAAGCAAAAACAATAAAATGTTAAGAGTAGAAAATAGGAGGTGACTATATGGATGTTTACTGTGAGATTGTTTCCACTTTCCTATTTATTTGACATTTTCCACCATCAATTACTGGGGGAAATGCAGTCACATTTGGAACCCGTTTTAAATAGCAAGCGAGAATGTCCAAATCCCACGGAATAATTCTGCATAAAACATTAAGCAGGACTTTGCTGTTTATATTTGTTGAGTTTGGGAGGGAAAAAAAATTACTATAACCTCTTTACTTTGTCTACCTCCAGAAAACTCCAAAATATTTAGACTCCTATTGAGAAATGCTTTTTAAGATTTCTACGTAGTGAAAACAAGTTCCTCTGGTTGAATTTTGAGGAGTAAAAATATATTATTTCTGGTATTTTGGATAGTGTTTCACTTCCTGACTACTCAGAATAACTTTATTTTCAATATGGATTTACTTCTCGAAAGGAGATAAAGCACATCTTCCTTTGGATTACTCGATCATTCTTTTTGGCAACGTCCTTTCACTGTGAGTCTGCCTACAGTTATTTCTTAAAAATCTGAAAACAAAAACACATACAAATGACCAGCATATTGGAAAATTTGTGTGCATATGAAGTGTATGTTATATAGTCATAATCCTTTCAATACAAATGACTCTAAAATGGCTTGAGCCAGGCCATATTTGTGTTTGGTATTCCATTAGTGACTTTAAAAGTGGTTATTTAAAATACTGTATTTCATGACAATTGAGAAATGCGTAACTCCAAGAAATTGCTCAGCTACTAATGGACAATATTGATCTATTAAACAAACATTTATTAGAGACTTACTATGTGCCAGTCATAATGCTAAGCCATAGGGATGAGACAGAATAAGACATAGGCCCTGACTTCTGGAAACTGACGGTTTGGTAAGAAAGAAATACAAATAAACAGTTATAAAAACACTTAAATTGGTTGATAAATGCATATATACAGAGTAAGGCTGTGATAAGGAGGGAACATCTAAATTAGCTTACGGGGTTGGGCATTTCTGGGAAGGATTTCTGAGTTTGGTATTAAAGAATGAATAGCATTGACCTAGCCAGGAGAGAACAGGAGATGGCATATTGAAGGGGCAGCACAGGGGCATAAAGCAGCGTGTTGTGGGAAGAGAACTAAGAACAGTTCAGGAATGCTGGGGCAAAAGCTCATGATATGGAGAAAGATGAGGCTAAAGAGGCAGGCAGTGGTAATACCACGAATGATCCTATGATCTATGTTAAGAAGCCTGGACTTTCTCCTCGACTCAAAGGGTTTTAGCAGGCAAATGGTATTTTCACATTTTGTATTAGCTAGAACTCCTGGCTCCCATGGGAGGGGGACATGATGACCAGCTATGGGAGTGACAAAATGAGGACCCGAAGCAAGATGGTGGTGGCAGTAGGTTTCTACTGAGACACACAGGCAGACATGAGTGTGGAGTGGGAGTGAGGGTGACTCCTGAGTGTTGAGCAATGCTCTCCCTTATCCCCCCAGTAAAATAATGTAGAAAGATAAGCTGAAAGGGAAGATGATGGATTCAGTTTGGGATGTATTGAATTTGATATCACCTCTGGGTTGTTTAGGTGAAGATTTTCAGATGAAATTAACATGTAAGGCCTAGGGAAGAGGTCTGAATGGAAGATAGAAACTGAGTCAGTCAATGTGAGAGATACCTGGAATTACGAGCAAACAGTTTTTGAGGTTTTTATTTTAGCCATTCTAATAGATGTGTGGTAATAGCTTATTGAGCTTTAATTTTTTATTTTCCCAATGTCTAATGATGTTGAGTATCTTCTAAAATGGTTATTTGCTATTTGTATATGGTTTTTTGGGATCTGCTCAAATCTTTTGCCCACTTAGAAAAACATTTTGTGTGTCCGTCATACATTCTTGATGCTAGTCCTTTATTAGATACAGACTTTGCAAATATATTCTCCCAGTGTATGGCTTCACAGTGTCATACTGTCTTTTCAAGAGCATATGTTTTTATCTTTTTAAAGTCCAATTTACCAATTTCTCCTCCTTTAAAAAAAACACATGGGGTCTTGCCTGTTTCTCAGGCTGAAGACAGTGGAATTCTTGGGCTGAAGTGATCCTCCTGCCTCTCCCTCTGAGCAGCACCCCCTCAAATTTTTTTTTTTTTTTTTTTAAGAGATGAGTGTCTGCCTATATTGCTCACCCTGGGCTCCAACTCCTGGCCTCAAGCAATTCACCTGTCTCCGCTCCTCCGGTCACTGGGATGCCAGGCCATGAGTCACAGTGCCCAGTTCTACAATTCTTTCTTTTCTATATCATGCTTTCGGTGTCCTATCTAATAAATCTTCCTAAGTAAGGTCACAAACATTTTCTCCTATGTTTTACTCCGGTATAGTTTTTCCATTTACAACTATAATCCATTTTGAGGTATTTTTAGGGGGTGCGCATAATTTGAAGAATAGATCAATGTAACGAAAGAGAATAGAATTAGCCAAGAAGAATGATACAGATATGAGAAGTGCCAGGAGTGGATGGAACCCAGAAATAAAAAAAACCAACCATGTTTAATGAAGTGGAGATGGTCAAAAAGACACACGGCATTGCACACAAAGCACCAGGAAAATTCAGAATATCAGCACCGTTAAGTTAAGCAATGGGAACTTAAAAAAAAAACTTGGATGAGGTCACTAGTGACCTTTCAGAAACCCTTCCACGGTCGAAACTACATTTAAACAACCACTTTACTAAGAATTCTCTCTGTGGAAGCACTTGAGAGGTCTGAAATCCCTGAAAAGGTCACTTCTTTGGGTACAGGAAGGTCTGGGATTCCCAAAACTGAGGCAGATCCTTGGGGGCATTCCGGCCAGAGGTCCTGGGGACAAACCCGAGTCATGCTCTGCTGGGAAATCAGAATCAGGCACGCCGCGGGATTGCTAACCTGACGCTTTGCCAGGGAGGGACTAGGTTACATTTACAGCAGGATGAGAAGCGGGGATTAAAAACCTATGCATTTGGGAAACCTGGGGCGATCAGGAAAGTCCCTCCCACCTGCCCCTCCTCCTGGTGTGTCGGGAGCGCCGAGGCGTAGAGCCAGCCTTCCCGAACGACTCTTCCCGACGGGCAGGACCGTCGGGTCTGGCACCTCCCGGGCTACTGCGCGTCCTCGGGCCCAGCACGGGGGTGTTTAAGCACTGGTTGGGGGGATCGTGGGCGCGCTGGTCCTTTCCCGGATGCCACGGAGGGGGTGCTCGACCGATTTGTCCCGGCCGACTGACCTTCCGTCCCCCAGCCCGAGTGGCCCGCAGGCCCTTACAGACAGAGTCGGGATCCGGCGTCCCCGAACTCCGCCTCGCCCACTCCCCCAGTTTGTCGTAAAGTGCTGTAAACGCGCCCCGTTTTACGACACCGTTGGCTGGCGGCGCACGTTACGGCTCAGCGTGGATCGGGCTCTTTGGAAGCTGCTCTTGCGGGCGGGAAGGCGGCAGTTAGGCATTTGGGAAGGACTGGGGGCAGGTACCATTCTCTCAGCGGGTAGTTGGTTGTGCTCCTAGTTTGCGTAACGTGGGACAAAACCGAAGGGTTGTTTAAAACACTGATTGCAATCCTTAAGCGTCACGCAAAGTTCCCAGTTTCTCTCGTTTGACTTGCCTTTCCTCGGGTGCTACTTGGGTTTTCATGTTCGTATTAATCGTTAGATCTTAGGTATCCGAGGCGTAGCTGACATTGTTTCTCTCATTCACTTCGTCCTGCAGTCTCCTTCCGCCCTTGGAATTTGAAATGCTTTACCTCATCGGCTTGGGCCTTGGAGATGCCAAGGACATCACAGTCAAGGGCCTGGAAGTTGTAAGACGCTGCAGTCGCGCGTATCTGGAAGCCTACACCTCAGTCCTGACTGTAGGCAAGGAAGCCTTGGTAGGTGCTTAAGGTTCCCTAGCCTCCTGGGAAGAAAGCTATCTAATTTTGGTTTTCATACACCGAGCTGTACAGAATTTTGAGGTCTGCTTGTTAAACCCTTTAAACCACATCCCCTGTTGGTTAAGGATCTGAGGAGTTGGATAATGGAAACCGTACACCAAGTGACTTGGAAAATGAAATGATGCTTTGCCCTACTTTACAAGTCTAATTTTGCAGCCTTCTCCAGCAAATAGGGAAATTATTTTACACTCTTGGAGATCGTTATCAAAATCCCTTATTTCATGAGATAGCCAAGAAATCCTTTCCTTGTTGAGTGCTAATGAACTGCTGACCCAGCTTTAATGAGTTGGTTATGTATTCAAAAACTAAGCTGAGATCTTCCCCCTTTGAAGTACTTCGGTAGAGAATGGTCATTGCCTTTCTGTCTGTATCATATCCAGAGAGCTTTTACCTTTAGGTAGACATCTCAAAATAAGGCTTATAGTCATACACTTGGGTATATTGAATGAGCCTGGCACTAACCAGGGGGGTTGTTAGAATATTATACATTTAGCTGACCCTCATAAGGGTTCAGTAAATTTTGAAAGGGTTAAATTCAGGTTCATTATCATACTCCAAGTAGAATATAGATTAAGCTTGAAAGATTAATGGATAGACTGTGGGAGGAAGGAGTACATTTTTAGAATTATCTTGATCATTTGTTTCAAACAAAAAGTACCTTTAAGATTTTTAGGTTTTCTGTTCTCTGAGATTCATAGTCCAGAGAATTCTGAAGGTCTCAGTGTAAAATCTTGAGGAAGGAATTAAGGAGTGTTACTTGAATTGGCCATGCCTTGAAATAAAAGTTGTGTCTAATGACCTGCTTTGATTTGGCTTCCACGCTGTCAGGGTGGACCAATATATCTAACCTCGAAATGATGGAAATATGCCTCTCTACTGAGTGATTATGGGAAACTGGAATGGACTTCATATCATCTAAGAGAATAGAGACACTTAACAAAACCAGCAGTTTTATAGAATAAAGTGTCAGAACATGGCACAGAGGAAAGTTTGGACCTAGTATTATCTTGGTCTTGTTACTTGTTAATGTCACTTTGGTTTGATTTCTTAGTTTGCAAAATGGGGTCAAAACACCTATTTTGTAAATTTTTAGCATAGTACCTGGCACAAATGTGTTTAGGAACAAAAGTCGTCAACAGGCACGTTTCCAAACTTGTCTGAATCTCCGTTTCTTCATTTGTCAATGGAGATAACCAACTGGAGGGGTGTGTAGGATTTTGTTAAGGTGATGTGTGTGAAAGTGCTTTATAAATTTTAAGTGCTAGCTAATTTTGGTTGCTATGGTTTTTTAAAGTATTTTTTTTTCCCCAAAAACATACTTACAGGGTTATTACGTATATAGTAAATATTTGGGGCTGAGCCCACCATCCACTTAGAGGTAAATTATGTGTACTTTTTTAAGGTGCTAGAATATCTATTCCTCTGTGATAAGTACTGTTTTAAATGCTTCACACATTGATTAGATTATTAATCTATAATTGCTGTTTACATTTTACAGGCACGGAAAAGTTAGGAAACTTTTTCATGGCCATGCAGGTAGCTAGTGATAGAGCCCCAGGAGATGAACCAAAGCAGCCCTGAGTTGAGATTTGCCATTCTTCACCTTTGTACTGTACTGTTTGTGTTCTTAAGGATACATACAGTCTGATCTCAGTAACTACAGGTAACTATTACACAGTGGAAAAAAATAAGAAAATTCTGTTGCCTACACTGAACATATTCTTTTGTTCAATAATCAAACAAATAATGGCTTGGCACCTATAGCTTAGCGGTTAGGGTACTGGCCGCATACACCGAAGCTGGCAGGTTAGATTAACCTGACCTAGTGTGTCAAACAACAGTGACAACTACAACAAAAAAATAGCCAGACGTGGTGGCAGTGCCTGAAGTCTCAGCTACTTGGGAGGCTGAGGCAAGAGAATCACTTTAAGCCCAAGGGTTTCAGGTTGCTGTGAGCTGTGATGTCATGGCTCTCTACCAAGGGTGACATAGTGAGACTCTTGACTCAAAAAAATATATATTTTTTATAAAAGGCACACATGGGTATTGTTAAATCTGAAATTTATCTGCTGTTACCCTGAAAGCTATTGTTTCCAAATTGCCAAGTTGATAGTATTATTTATCTATCCTCTATTCAAAAGTTAATTTAGAAACAGCGAATCCAAGAAGCCATTTTAGTTTGGTATATGTACTTTGAATTTCTTAAGCCACTTTCTGTGGGTGCATTGTGACCTTTCATACCCATTAGGGAAAATGCAGCTGCGTGCATCACACAGAAGTGTAAGCAATGGCCTTTGTAAGCAGTTCGTGATTCATCTGTGTTATACCCAGAAGACCTTAAATACTAATGGAAGATTTAGGGAACAGCAGTGGAAGGACAAACTGTAAAATTGTATGCCTATAAAGAACCTAGAGGATCTTATCTAAAGCAACACCCTAGCTTTCACTAAATGAGCCGTAGAAGCTGTCTCAAATATTAAATAATTACTAATGGTTATTATGGGAATACGTGTGAAAGAAGATTACTTCCAGCTGTGGTGGTCAGCGACCACTGTGGACTTGATGGAATTTGAGTTATGTTTTAAAATAGTGTATCCCAGGTTTTTTTGTTTAATTTTCTTTTTTTTATTTCATGATTCAAATAGAAAATGGTGATATTTATGTAGTCCCTTAGGGTAAGTAGGGGAATAGTGAATCCCAGTTTTTTTTTTGTTTGTCTTTTTTTTTTCATGATTCAAATGGAAAATGGTAATATTTGTATAGTCCTCTAGGGTGAGTAAAAGAAACTGCTCCTAGCCAGAGGAGACGAACTGTGGGGCTCCAGCTACCTGCAGAAAGCAGAGGTGATCACTAAACTCTCCATATCTACATCCCCTTTGTACCTCATGCAAAATCATCCAGCCATCCAACGTTCTGTGACCTTGAGCAGTCGTTTAACTTTTCTGTGCTCTGTTTATAATCTGTAACATGGGAGACTGAGGAGAAGAGTAAATGAATTCACACCCATAAGGTCTTAAAACTTAAAGCCTGACCACAGAGTAAGCCCAGGGTAAGTGTAGCAGTACAAATATTGTTACAGGTTAAGGTTGGTAAGGGGAAGAGAAAGACCATTCCATCTTGAAGGAGAACTAATTGGATCAAAAGCCTGGAGGGGGAAAGCACAGACATTTGCTATACTTGTTACTGGGCTTCACTGAAAGAACTTTTAATTTCTCCCAGTGTATCTGTTCCCTCCTCTCTTCCTAACTTATGTCACCTGCATGCCAGCTCCCTCTGTTACCTTGTCTTCTGTTTATCTGCTGTGGATTGAGTTGGGGACACAGATGAGAGAACAGTGAAGGACTTCACATGGAGAACAATGAGGCCATCAGCTGTGACCTTTATAAACTTCTCATCTGCCCTTGCTGTAAATCTGAATGTGTCTTCCCTCCACTCTTAGAAAACGACTTGTAATAATGAGGTTCTCTTCCCATAACTCCTCCTAGACATGTTTTGTAAAACCCTTCCTTCCACCTTCCTTAGAAACTTTACTCCGATCAATTATTCTTCCTTCTTTCTGTTTAACTTGTATTAATGTCCTCCTCTCGTCCTGAACCGTGTTTAAACATTGTCCATTCTGAAAAGTATCTTTTAAACCTCTTTCCTCATAGTTATTATTCTGTCTTTATTTTTCTTTATCCGGAGCTCTTTGCAGATGGATGCCTTTATTGTTTTCCATTTCTACTCAGCTCTGAGACCCCTGTAGACCAACTTGTAGTCCTTGAGAATATTTGTCCATTTTTGAACATTTCTTTTCTAGCCAAGAACTTTGGATAATAGTTTTAAATTCTAACCTGTTTTGCCTCTTTGGATGTGTTTAATCATTCCTTGAAACTGACTTTTAAGACACGATTCCCCATGTTTTACTAAGATTTGTCCTCTCATTTGTTTCCATATACTTCTTTGAGCTTCTACTCTTTTGCTTTTTGATGAGGTAATCCATTAAATGGTTTGCAATTTAGAAGGTACTAAAAGATACGCATCATAAAATGCCTATTCCAATTTTTCTTCCTGGAGATAGTCCTTACTAATTTCACGTATATCCTTTTAGAAATACCTGAAAATAATTTTAATTTTAACTTGTATTCTATATAGAAAAACTGCCGACTGAGAGCAAGAATGATTTTTCTTTGTTTTGAGACAGGGTCTTGCTGAATTACCCAGGCTAGAGTATAGTGGTGTCATAGCTCACTGCATCCTCAAACTCCTGGGCTCAAGTGTTCCTCCTGCTCTCACCCTCTTACTTGAACTTCCTTAGTCACTTGACTGCAGGTGTGTGCCACCACACCCAGCTGATTTTTCTTATTTCTTATAGAGATGCAGATCTCATTGTGTTGCTCAGGCTGGTCTCGAACTCCTGACTGCAAGTAGTCCTCCCTTGTCCTCCCAAGTGCTAGGATTACAGGTGTGAACCACTGTGCCCAGCCTAAGAGTTTTACCTTCATTTTTATGAATGGAAATGATGAGGGCTGAGATTGTACAAAAACTAGCTGATCAGTCATTGAATATACACATATATAATGTAAATTTTAAAATCATGTGTTAAATGGTACTGCTTGTTTTTTATTTTCTTTTCCTGATTTGTGACTAGGCTAGATGTTCCTATAGTGCACATGATGTGGTAGTTAATTTCCCACAAAGGCAGGGTCTGTGTGTGTCTTAGTCATCTTTGTCTCCCAGTATCGAGGGGGGAGGATGTGTATAAGAAATATTTTTATGGTGAGTGAGTGAACAAATCAGTAGGTAAATTAAAAAATAATGTAACACAGGCAGTCCCAGGTTATGAATGAGATAAGTTCTGTAGGTTCTTAAGTTGAGTTTGTATGTAAGTTGGAACAGGTGCATTTACCTATTACCTGTAATAGCATCCGTTGGTAAATGCAAGTCGGATGGCAGTCGGATGTCTGTAGCTTGGGGACTTACCGTAATAGCTGCCATTCCTCAGTGCAAGTTGCATGTAAGTTGGATGTTTGTAATTCAGGGACTCTTGTACTAGTCTTTTAGTCCTTTTGCTGTTTCTTCCCTTTTTAAAATATTGTTATTTTCTAGAGGATCAACTGTTTGAATATGGTGGGTGTCTGTGTGTGTAAACATTGTGTTTTCTCAGAAAATGAAATATTTCTTAGGGTAAGTGGTAAGTACAGAGTGATGCATGATAAAAGTCTTGAAGAGAGAATGGGTTCTTTTGTTGTTAAATTGTTGATAAAGTATAGGTTAGCATTACTGCTAGCACTAAACTAGTAGCATGTAACTTCTTGGTCTTTTGTAAGGAATGATAGAAGTTCCGAAAAGGCCATGATTTCCTTCAGTTTTCAGGAATCATTTATGTGTTCTCTTAGGTATGTAAATATAATATAAATGTTCTGTAACTAGTAAGTTTTCTGGATTCATAAAATCAGAGTATTTATTCAGTAATAAAAATTAGTGATAAAGAAAAAAGTACATGGTAAAAGTGAAAATTAGGAGAGTATTTTTCATCTATAAAAACATTGTCCTTGGGGACTGCTGGAACATTTCTCTTCAGATATGCAGACCACAGGAAGGGATCCTTTTTCACATTTTAGGAACAGATTTTATTTACACATTAGCTGCTGTGTGAGGTGTACTCACACGAGTTTTGAGCCCATGAAGCATGTAGAACTGGTGGATAGACGAGAAGGTCCACAGCCTCCCTGCGCTGGGAAACCTCTGCTTATTGTTTTCACTGTCAGCCAGCACGTCTCCCCCACCACCTGTGTGAGGAGTTCAGTTATAAGAATTGCGGTACTGTAAGAGTTTCTGGTACTCGATACCATTTGTCAGATGGTACCCGTGTTCCAGCTGGCCTGCCCGAGTGCACGACATGTGCTGGACTGTGTTTTGCGATTCCCATGATGTCCAATTGCACATTGGCTCTCTGGATGAAACTGATGTGAGAGTATGCAGGTGACGTGACATTGTTGCACATACTTAGGTAGAATGATTCAGAGGTTATTGTCTGAGATCACCCAAGGTCCCCTCCAGACACAAGTATTTATGGAATGACAAATCTCAATGCTCAGAAACAAATTCAGTGAGTATGTTACAAGTCACAGACAATTCATGTGGTGTTCAGAGTAAAAATTGATTCTAGGGCTCCATGAGTTGCATATAACTCACACACAGAAAACAATAACAAAATAACATTTTTCATTCAGTTAGAAAGGATCGCTTTGTTTTTTGATGTTTTTATTCTATTTTTATAATAAGCACCATGGCAACAAGGACTTTTTTTTCTTTAGTGTGGCAGTCTACATATTAAGTATTAGGAGATATTTATTAGAATTAGAATTGTACCATTTATCTTTGGATGCTTAATCATTTGTTCATACTCAGTTGTTTGACAAATGGTGTTGAGTACCAGATACTCTCACAGTACAGCAATTCTTATACTTAATTCCTCACACAAACTTCTCAGTATGTAAGAAACGGTATTTATCGATGCATCCACTGTTACTCCATTTGAATTACATTTTGCCCCACAGGAAGTCAGTTAGAAGATTCGTGATCTTGCATAATGGCCTGTAACTACTGCCACATGACCACCAGCTTACTAGCTCGCTCTGTGCTGGATTTGTTGTGTAACGTGGAACTGCAGAGGATTAATCCACAAAGCACTTTATATAGAAACTTCCTATAGATTGAGGAGTCAGTTCTTTCCCTAGCAACCCTGCCTTTTTAGCAGTAACTAGGGAATACAGTTTTTAATTAGTTTTTCCTCATTTATATAGGAACATTCACTTCTTTTGTAAATAGCTAAATGTTAATTTTCTATTATTTCTCATTGGTGTTAACCTTTTATTTTAGTTGAGATACCATACATTTTTCCACAGACAATTTAATAAAACCTAAACTATTATTTTTTGTAAAATTATTATTCAGTGTATTTTTTTATATTACACATATGTTTCTGAAGTGAGGTTCATGTAGACATTTTCTCTGTTCATCCTCCTGTGTTCTGTCTGATCTGTTAGAACCAAATTTAGATATACATTTAAAATGCAAAAAGCCCCAGATGTTAAGAGGTCTACCTCCTTTGGGATATTAAAATAGCCCCAAAGACAGAGTTTAATTGCAACATAACGTGGAGTGCTACTATTGAATGATCTGTGTTTGGATGGTTGCCAGGATTTGTACCAGACAAAGCTTGTTACCTATGGGGTTGATACGGTCACCTGCTTTCTCTCATTTTGATCTTGGATTTAAATCTGCAGGAAGAGTTTTATGGAAGAAAGTTGATTCTTGCTGATAGAGAAGAAGTGGAGCAAGAAGCAGACAATATTTTAAAGGATGCTGATACCAGTGATGTTGCATTCCTTGTAGTTGGTGATCCATTTGGGTAAGTCAAAGCAGATATTTTGAGTTTTTAATTCATTTACTTTCTTAAAAAAATAATTATTCCATTACATTCAAAACTTTTACCTGCCAGGTCCTGAGGAGAGACCTAAAATTTCGCAGTTTTTCATTTCCTTTCATTACCTATGAGATGAATGAAGAAAAATTGTTTGGTAAATGCATCATCATAGGTATCACAGCATTATGAAATGTCAACTATAACGTTTGTGTCTTTGCTTCTGCTGATTTCTGAGAAGGTCGTGTAGGGTTAGAAATGCCTGAACCAGGATCTCATTATTAAATACCTCGTGTCATTGAAAGTCATGCCTGCCATTTGCTGCAGATAATTACAAGCATCTTTGGCTTCCTTTCTCCTAGGCTTTTTCCTCCCTGTTTTTTAATCACCTAATACTCGATAGTCCTGCTGTCACTTTACTTGCCCTGGATTTATCATTTATCAAGCCTTTGATTTCAATTTCTTATATCCATTGGGAGGTCTGGTCTTTCTCATTACAGAGAAAATGGGCATCTACTTGCCTAGTCACGCATCATCAATCTCTAACGTCAAGCCAAATAGAATAGTTCTTTGTCTACAGCTGGTGACCCAAGATTTATGTCACAGATTTAAGGAACATAAGGACAATTAAATCACTATGAGCCTACCACCAAGAATGTTTTTCAAAAGAGAATGGAGTTACATGTGCATGTGTCTGTCAAAAAGAAAGTAATTTATGTCAATTTGTATCAATATGAGGTGCCACAGATTGTGTATCTTTATTATATTCGATTGCAAACGACAGTGAGTAATTATACATTTAAAAAATATATTAATAGTTTGTTTTAGCCTTTGACATTGTTTCCTGTAAACTTAAGGCTTCCTTGAAATTAGCTGTACCTATCTTCTTCTTTATAATAGCTATAGAATAGTAAAGTGAAATAAGGATAGTGAAAAATCCTGTATAGAAAACGTCTTGTAAGTCTTGTGGGATTTTCTCATGAAAACTCTGACTCCTACTGCACAAAGCTCATGATTTCTACAGTGAAACTTCCCCTAATCAAATTTCTCAACTCGATGATCCTGCAGTTCTTACAGTCAGTTAGATGAGCAACCTCAGAGCCACTGACAGTGTCTAATAAATAAGGAAAGTGCTCTTCAAAGTGAGGTCTGTGGACCGGTGCTAACCCACAAACTATTACCATGGTGCAGTAAATACAGAGATTGAGTTAGCATTTAAAAACTTTTGTAGCCGCTTTAAAAAGTAAATTTTATGTCTACTGAATCTAAATATAAAAACTGGGGCCTTGTACTTTGTATTATTTTATATTTTATTTTCTGCTATAGTCACACATCACTTAACAAAGGGGATACTCTGAGAAATGCATTGGTGGGCAGTCTTGTCCCTGTGTGAACATACAAAATGTACTTAAACAAACTGAGATGGTGTCAGCACACCATGAGCCTACAGCACACCTATAACTCGTAGTCCAAAAACTTGACATTTGTAACACAATGGAAAGTATGTACCTAAACATAGAAAAGGAACAGTAATAATAATGAAATTATAATCTTATAGAACTGCCCCATATATGGTCTCTCCTTGACCGAAATGTCTGTATAAAATGACTATAGTTCATTTTTATTGCATTTACAAAGTATTGTTCTGTGACACTTTACACCCTAAAAAAAAATGTTCTTTTATTAGTAGAAGTTGTTAGTTTGAGAAGTACTGCCATTGACTTTGGTTGTAGCAACTTCATTGTGCCCTTTTATTCCTTTCAGTCTGGTTGCCACCATTCTGCCTAATCCAAGCTCACGACATGACCCAATTTGGACACTTCACCTGGGCTCATACATGAGAACTTTATTAGTTCCATGATTAACCAGAATTAAAAATACCTCTCAACTTGCCTCTTTACTACAGTGTTCTGCCATTGTTGTACTAAAGCCCACATCAAGCCAAGTTTGCCCTTCCCTAAATTTTTTTTTTTTTTGGAGACAGAGTCTCACTTTGTTGCCCAGGGTAGAGCGCTGTGGTGTCATAGCTCAAAGTGACCCCAAACTTTTGGGCTCAAGCTATGCTCTTGCCTCAGCCTTCCAAGTAGCTGAGACTACAGGCACCTGCCACAACTCTCAGCTATTTTTTAGAGATGGGATCTCAGTCTTGTTCAGGCTGGTCTCAAACTCCTAAGCTCAGACAGTCCACCAGCCTCGGCCTCCCAGAGCACTAAGGATCACAGGTGTGAGCCACTGTGCCCGGCTGCCCTTCCCTAATCTTCACAATTCTCACCTTCCTTTGTTCAAACTGCTTCCTTCATCTCTGATACCCTTTGACCTATCTCTGTCAGAAGCATTTCAGCTTTTCGAAACTCAGCTCAAACTTGACATTGTCCATGATGTGTTCCCTAATCACCCCAATCTGAAGTTACATCTCTGCTTACCTGCTGAAATGTATCCTCTGTGCTAGTTTTCACATAGTACCATACAACGTATTTTTTTATAACTCTGTACATCTTACTTTTCCTTTAGATTTTTAGGCTGTTCTTCACATTTTCTCTCCATAGTTGCTTCACAATACTTGATACACTGTACATACTAGTTAAATATTCATTGAAGGAGTATCTGGATTTCTTGTCTGAGGTCAACAAAGACAGACAGACCAGGTGTATCTTGAACTGACATTTATCTGTCTGGTAAATATCTTTTGTACACCTGTCTTGTGGGGGCATTTCTACATGTGGATGATAAAAGACAGTGGGAAGGCCAACAGTAATCAAAAAAGATCTTTTTTATTTTGATAAGGCTGTAAAGCAATTAGAAAAAGGAAATAACAGGAAGAGACCTCTTTTTGCAGCGTCATATGGGAAAGCTTTTCTCTGGAGGTGATGTATAAGCCGGCATTTGGGCAATGAGGATAAATGGGAGAAGGGAAGAACATTCTAAGCAGAAGGAAGGTCAGGAGTGTGTTCAAGGAACTGGAAGGCCAAGTGGTCGGAGCAAAGTAAGAGAGAGAGGAAAGGGGAGAAGGTGTTACAGAGGTAGGGAGGAGCCAGACCACGTAAGGCCTTAGATGGACTGGACATTTTATTTGAAATACAGTGGTAGACCTTTGGAGGATTTGGAGTCAGGAAAACTCACAGTGAGATTAACATTATTAAAAAATCACTCTAACTGCTTGGGTGAATGGATTTTATGGAGGTAAGTGTGTCCCTAGTAGAAGAGAGAAAAGGGCAGTCTGGAACATTTAGAAGGTACAGTGCTGGGATGGATGTGGTAGATGAGATGAAAAAAGTAAAGAAGTGAATCTGACTTCCCAGTTTCTAGTTTTATAACTGAGTAGTTGATGGTGCCACTTGAAAACCAGCAGAGAACAGGATTTGAGGAAACAGGAATTGGTTCTAGAAACGTGTTGAGTTTGAGAGGTCAGGAAGGTGATTAGATTGCTGCTGGAACTCAGGAGAGGGCGTCCTGGAGATGTGGCTTTTGGAGTCATCAGCATGCGGATGGTATTTAAAGCAAGAGATGGACAAAGTCACCTTAGGAGAGAAGACTAGGAAGAGAAAAGGACCGAGGAAGCTCTGACCTCTCACGTCTATAGAGCTAGAGGAGGAGGAAAGCCAAGAGTATGTTGTCACAGAAGCCAAGCAGAGAGGCCTTTTCAAAAGGGAAAGAGTGACCAGATGAAGTACTGAGAGTCTGAGGATAAGGTGAGGATACAAAGTGTACTTGCATTTAAAGGCACCGTGTTTGGAGTTCCTCAGTGGTGGCTTTATGGAGCAGTTGGTTGTGAGTTGGGTCTGGATAGGGTTTAACAGGTGGATATTGTGGGGTGGGCCAGAAGGACGGTAGAAGAGGGAGTTCTATGTAAATGAAAAACCTGAGGGTCAGAGAGACTTGATTAGTTACTGCTCTGCTTGAAAACCTTCAGTGCCCTTTCATGGCCTTAAGTGTCTTTCTGCTTTTTCCTCAGGCTGCTCTTTGTGCCTGCTATGCTCGAACCAAATTATATAACTTTCCATTTCATAAATATTTTGTGGTATACTTCCACTGCATCCTTGCTCATGCTTTTTCTTTAAAACAGACTGTTTTTTTCTTGGTTTCTAATTAGTAGCATGTAATTTTACTAATTATAAAATTAGGACCCAGCTTAGATTTTACTGTTATTTTGTTCAGAAGTAAGTGCTATTTTTTTTCTTTTTAAATTCCTTTGGTAATTAGTTGGCCCTCTCTTGGTAACTCATATATAACCTTGTAGTTATATTCAGATTAAAGTCACATTTACTGTACTTCAGGTATTTGTTATTTACCACTGGACTACTATTGGTATGTCCTAGTTAGAATTAGGGTGATGGGTAATGTGTGATTTTAATTTGGCCTTGAAGGTTTAGAGAGTTTGAGTGAATTAAATAGAGAAACTAGGAAAGGAATACTAAATGAAACAAGGCACTGAAGTTCTTTCTTATGTGACAAAAACGTCCCTTGTTTAATTTTAAGCCCCTTTCTACTTACTTAAATAAGACATATTAAATAAAAGGGGAGATTGTTTAGGACGCTTAATCTTAAATTTCTTTTTTTCTTTAAGTTTTAAAAAAGTGGCAAAATGCACATTACACAGAATTTTACATTTTAACCAATTTTCAATGGATAATTGAATGGCAGTAAGGACATTCACATTGTTGTACAGCCATTGCCACTATCCATCTCCAGCAATCATAAGTTCTTGAAGAAGATAATTAAAGGTCATGGTAAAGTAAGTTGATGTAGTTCTCATCTTTGCCTTTTTATCCATGGTAAAGAAAGGAAGGTGGAAATGAATTACATAAAGAACATGCATGACTCTGAAAAATGCTACATCAGTAGATCTGACTCAGTCACTGGGAGAGCTGATAGTCTCAAACATTCCATCCCTAAGTCTCCCCAAAGTGTATCAAATTCTTTCTAATGATAGTTCCACTTTGTTATTCCATTCTGTATTTTAATATGCTTTTTAACTATATATACTGTTAGAAATGAACACATAATTTTTATCCCTATGTTGTGTTCCTTTTCCTCAATAACACACACATACAAAAAATGCCTTTTTAAAAAAACCTGTGCCTGGATGTATGCCATGTGGTTGCTTCCATTGCATGTAATGAGTTGAAACAATGCTTGGCACCTAGAAATTGTCCAGGGAGTGTCAGCATTATTATCATTATAATATAAGTAAAGCCACTATGTGTAAATTAATGTCTGTGATCTCTTTCCCCTTTTCCACGTCTTCATTCCCACATTGTAGATTGTTTCCTCAAGGGAGAGCCTACAAAATAGGTTTTTAAGATCAAAAAACCAAAAGGTGTGGACCTCCATGGACATTTTCTAGTATAAAGCATTTGTCAGATTATTCTTTGAAAGGATAGTACTACTTTATACTCCTCAGTAGTTCATGAGAATATCGTTTTCACTGTTTCATTGCAAACATTCATGAATTTCCAGAACCGTTAATATCTAAGCCAAATGTGATATTACATTTGCAAACCAATGTTATTATAAAATAAAATTCAACATAAACCTACCTAATCTTGTACATTTAAACTGGACACCTTTATGTACTTTATCAGTTCCATTAATCAAAACATTTTTGGATCATCTTTTTTGCAATTGCCGTTAGAACAATTCCAAGTAATAAGCACATTATTAAGGCAAATTACTACTATTTCTGGGTATATGTATGTATACATATAAACATATGATTTTAGTTTAGGCTACATGCCTAGAAATAGTAAATTTGTGTATGGGCATGTATATGTGTGGTCATTTTAAATGAACTTCTGATAGAGATGTAATTTTAAACCAGTTTTTCTTTTTCCTTATCTGTTTAAATACCTTACCAAGTAACTAATTCAGTTGTCATTATTCTTAATGTTAAATAATGAGAATCTGTTGAAAGTGATCTGAAAAACTTTCTTTATAATTGGTATTCATGTTATTTTTTAAAAGCTTACTCTAAATCAAATTGATGATTATTCATACTAGTCTTTATGTATGTGATTCAGAACAGACTTCCCTGGTGTGTATTTGTTAATCTGAGTCTTGACTGCCTCATGGGGTGAAAGCCCTTGATCTTCCTACTTGGTATGCATTGGCCGTTGACACGTTCTGCTTGTTCGTATGTAGTTTCTCAAACATGCAAATGCTGCTTTACCCAGTAGGGCCTGAAATTTTTATCAAGAGAGAAAAAGGCCTCGTGAAGTTACATTTCACAGTATCCATGTTTATACATATTTTCTCTCTAGTCTAATCATAGAATTATAGTCACAAGATTTATTTCAAAACAGGAGAGGCAACAGGCCATGTATACACAAACACACACATATTAATATACACATATTAATCGTACACAGTAACCAGCTGAAAAATGTCTGTTTAAATAGATGTAAAATCCAAGTAGGATTATATACGAGAAGAACAGTAGGCTGTGACAAGTTCTGCACAGTCATACCTTGTATTATTGCTCTCTACTTTATTATGCCTCACAGATTCTGTGTCTTTTATAAATCAAAGGTCTGTGGTAACCTTGAGTTCCTACAGCACTGGCCCACATTACACAGCAGGCTGTCTGTGCCATTTTTCCAGCAGTATGTTTTCTCTTGTATCTCTGGCATGTTTTAGTAATTCTTGGAGTATTTCAAACATTTTCCTTATCATCCTATCTGCTCTAGTGATCTGTGATCAGTAATCTTTGATGTTACTATTGTATTAATAATTATTTGGGGGTGCCAAGAGCTGAAGGTATGTAAAGATGGTGAACTTAATTGATAAAGGTTTGTGTTCTGACTGTTGCAACTGGCCATTGTATTGAAATTAGGCCAGTTAATAAACTTACTTAATGATCTTGAGGCATTCCAATAAAAGGAAGAATTACACATCTCACTTCAAATCAAAATCTAAAAATGGTTAAGCATGGGGAGAAACGGATGCTTTTGCCTGCATAGGCTAAAAGCTCGGCCTCTTCTGCCAAATGATTAGCCAAGCTGTGAATGTAAAGGAGAAGTTCTTGAAGAAAATTAAAAGTGCTACACCAGTGAACACACAGATGATAAGAAAGCAGAATGGCCTTAAGCTGATACAGAGAAAGTTTTAGGGTCTGGGTAGAAGATCAAACCAGCCACATCATTCCCTTAAGCTGAAGCCTAATCCAGAGCAAGGACTTAACTCTCTTTAATTCTGTGAAGGCTGAAGGAGGTTAAGGAACCTGCAAAAGAAAAGTCTGAAGCCAGCAGGTTGGTTTGTGAGGTTTACAGAAGACTGTCTTCATCCAGAACGTGAGAGTGCAGGCTGGAGCCACGAATCCTCACGTAGAAGTTGTAGCGAAGATCTAGCTAAGACCATTGATGAAGGTGGCTATCCAACAACAGATTTTCAGTGTAGGTGAAACAGCCTTATATTGGAAGAAAGTGTAATCTAGGACTTCTGTAGAAAAGCTTCGGAGGACAGGCAGACTTGCTAGAGGCTAATGCACCTGGTAACTCAAGTTGAAGCCGGTGCTCATTTACCATCCAAAAATCCCAGGACCCTTACAAATTATGCTAAATCTTCTCTGCCTGTATTTTGTAAATAGAACAACACAGCCTGGATAATAGGACAACTATTTATAGCAGAGTTTACTAAATATTTTAAGCCCACTGTTAAGACCTATTGCTCAAGAAAAAAAAGATTCCTTTTACAGTATTACTGCTCATTAACAATACACCTAGTCACCCAAGAGTTTAGATGGAGATGTGCAAGAACATTTTTTGTTTTTATGCATGTTGACATAACATCTGTTTTGTGGCCCGAGGATCACGGAGTAATTTTGACTCTCAAGTTGTATTATTTATAGTTAAGAAGTACGTTTTGTGAAGTTATAGCTGCCTGCTATAGATTGTGATTCTTCTGATGGATCTGAACAAAGTAAGTTGAAAATATTCTGGAAAGGATTCACCATTCTAAGTGCCATTAAGCATATTTATGATTCATAGGAGGAGGTCAAAGTATTACCAGTAACAGAGTTTGGAAGACGTTGATTCTCACATGAATGACTTTGAGTGTTTAAGACTCAGTGATGGTAGTAACTGCAGATGTGGTGGAAATAGCAAGAAGTCTAGAATGAGAAATGGAACCTGAAGATGTGGCTGAATTGCTGCAATCTCATGAAACTTGATGGGCAAGGAGTTGCTTCGTATGGATACACAAAGAAAGTGGTTTCTTGAGATGGAATCTACTCCTGGGAAAGATGGTGTGAACGTGTTTGAAATGACAACAAGGTATTTAGAATATTCCATAAACCAGGTTGGTAAAACAGTGGCAAGGTTGAGAGGCTTGACTCCAATCTTAAGGAAGTGGTATGAGTAAAATGCTATCATTTTATAGCATTGCATGCTGCAGAAATGTCTGTCATGAAAGGAAGAGTCACTTGATGGCTGCAAACTTGATCATTTCAGTCTGAGGAACATACTTGGGAGGCTTAGGTGTGAGGATGGCATGACCCCAAGTGTTTGAATCTACCTAGCCTGGGAAACAGCAGCAAGACTAATAAAAAAAGAATAAAAAAAGAATTGCCAGCAGCAGCCCCACCCTGACGCATTAGCAGCTCTGGAGGCAAGGAGGACAACATGGAGGCAGGGAGGACAACCTGGAGGCAAGGAGGACAACACGGAAGCAAGGAGGACAACAGGGAGGCAAGGAGGACAACACAGAGACCAGGAGGACAACTGGGAAGCCAGGAGGACAACCGGGAGGCAAGGAGGACAACCGGGAGGCCAGGAGGACAACCTGGAGGCCAGGAGGACAACAGGGAGGCAGGGAGGACAACAGGGAGGCCGGGAGGACAACCTGGAGGCCGGGAGGACAACAGGGAGGCCGGGAGGACAACACGGAGGCAGGGAGGACAACAGGGAGGCCAGGAGGACAACCTGGAGGCTGGGAGGACAACAGGGAGGCCAGGAGGACAACCTGGAGGCCAGGAGGAC